GTAGACGCTCTCGTACCGTGAGAGATTGACTAGACTGGCCAGTTGAAAATTTTGTGATTCCACTGATTTATTAAACATGGAGTAAAACACTACAGCGGCCGGCAAGGGGCCAAGAAAGGAAGAGAGAGAAGATGAACAAGAAAACTGTCAACTAGAAGAAAAGAGAAAATCCAAGTATCCCAACCCACCTATATTTAACCTCCGTATAAAATAACATGCAATAAAATATAGCAATCAATTTAAAATATTCACTTTTTTAATCCATTAACTCCTCTAATTTTACAGTCCACAGCAATAAATTATCACCAGCTCTTAAAGCAGAATTATTATGACAATATCCCTGACAGCCTTGGAAGGGATTGGCATAGTAAATTAAACAGCGAGTCTATAAGCAATGTTGCGATGAAACAAAAGTACCTAAATATTTTTACTGCACAAAATTTTACTAAAAATTTTTCATAAGGGGTCAATACATTTGAATTGACCCAATTTGAATTAATTTTTTGTTCGTTTTGTGATTTTATAAATTTTATTATCTTTTTTTTTTTCTTTTTTTTTCTCTTTTTCTCGCCTCTACCCTAAAGGGTCATTGGCGTTTTCTATATAATTTATACTTATATTTATATTTATTATCATTTATTCTTCTTATACTTGTAAGTTTAATACTATGGTTAAACAAGTTTTAAGATTCAGACATTTTTAATTTGCTTTTTGAATAAAAATATTTTTCTGGAAAATTTCTTGAACTCTGTTAATTTTACAGATATCGAACCAATATAAACGCTAATGTAATGATGATTATTTTTATCTTCCGTTACATTTCCTAAGAAGTAAGGAGAGCGATAAAAAATGAAGTTAAGACATGACTTTTAGATTTTCTATTAATTCCCTTCATTACGTGATATAACGGAAGTTGTAGTGTCTGTAGCAGCCTAATATGATAGGGCAGCACCATTGTTTGACAATAAAGTGATCTTCTCTTGTGAAAATTTAAATAATAGTGCAAATTCAAAATGTCAAATAATTTTTCTACATATAAAACAAGATAGAAAAAATAGCCGCCAACAAATAATTCCTGATTGACAAAAAACAGAAACTTTATTTTTGGTCTAAATGAAATTGAAAAAAAAATACAGATAAGTTATGGGCAGGCGGTATAAGTAGGTGTCAAAAATATTTGAAAATGGCCAAAAACCCCAAACGTTACAAAATAAAACATCTTAATGTAATAAAATAAAATTTGTTATGCTTTAAGATTTTTGGGATTTAAATGGTTCCAAAAATTTATTAAGTACCAATAATTAATTAGCATTCTTACAACTCAATAATGCATCATATATATACATTATAATAATATATAATATATTGTAATGCTAATTATGTATATTAAAAAAAGGTACCAATTTTATTGTAAAATAAATAAAATAATGGTAATTATTTTAGATTTATTTGTTTCTAATACCAAACAAATTTCCAGGGTTAGTGACATTTTTCAAATCACGTTTGAAGTTTACAGGCCAATTCGAAGTGGCAGCAAATGGCAACGTATGGGCCTTTAACATATTTTCAATCCTCCTTTTGAACTCACTATTAAATATGAAATAACTGCATGCAACGTGGTCTGGATGATTTTAAATGGATCCACCCCAATGTGATTATAGTATAAGCATATTAACCTATTACAAAGTTCTAATTAAACCATGTAATACCTAGCTCAGGAACTCCCAGATAACTGAGTTAGATGTGCTTTCCTTCGCTAAGAGCCGGCAGAACTCCCTTCAACATCACTATGATGCATGAAAATTAAGTATCAGTTTTTTAAAATAAATATACCAGGAATGTGAAAACCCTTTTAAGTTGTTTAGAGTGAGGTATCGGGAAACCACAAAAAAATATTGGGAAAATTTTCATCTCGTGTAATGTTTTATCCAGTTACCTCTTGTGTTCAATTTCAGGAAATTCGAATATATTAAATTCCTGGATTCACTTAAATACCTCCCTAACCCATAATTTTAAACTTTAACATCAGTACCTCTACCAGTGCGATGGCAGAATACATCATGAGAAAGTAGTATAGAAGTTTAGGATTATATATAGCAACAACTCAGCACTTAGCACCCTCAATACATAAGGGACTTAATCAGAGCAAAGAGAAGAGCGCATAAAATATGGCAGACTGACAGACATCCATCAGATAGACAGACATTTGACCGACTAAACAATCAACTTAAAAGAGAAATCCAAAAATTTAACAGGACTAACTATGACGCATACGTAAGTGGTCTTTCGACTGACAATGGGAGCTTGTGGAAGCATACCAAAAAGTTGTTAAAGCACCGAGAGCTGTCAGCACCACTTAGAAAAGAAGATGGATCCTGGGCCGTGTCGGATGAGAAAAAATCTGAACTCTTCGCTCACCACCTTTCATCTGTATTTAAACCGTTTACAAACTTCACTAACACAGAACATGAGACTATAGTACTTAACACATTAGACATCCCACTTCAGCTGACACTACCACCTCCTTCTTTTACTCCATCTCAGGTTGCACTTCAAATCAAACAATTACCGAAAAGAAAAGCTCCTGGTTATGACTTAGTAACAGCCAAAGCACTCCAACAAATGCCAAAGAAAGCTCTAGTATTTCTGACAACAATTTACAACTGTATACTAAGGACTTTAAAATTTCCTTTACAATGGAAATACTCACTTATTAAGATGATTCACAAACCCGGTAAATACATACAAAGTCCTTCATCCTACAGACCCATTAGCCTCCTTCCTATATGCTCTAAAGTTTTTGAAAAATTAATATACAAAAGACTTGTTGACATATTGACTGACCAACAGGTAATACCTGACCACCAATTCGGCTTTCGCACATTCCATTCGACGACACATCAATTGCACAGTGTTACAGACTACATTGCTGGAGCTTTAGAACAAAAACTATATGCAAATGGAGTATTTTTGGATGTTGCTCAGGCTTTTGATAGAGTTTGGCACCAGGGTCTTCTCTTTAAACTTCCATACACTATACTTCCATACACGTACTATCTTATCCTTCAATCTTTCCTCTTCGACAGATTTTTTTCAGTTCGGCAGGGCTCGGAAGTGTCTTCAGTCCGTCCAATCTTGGCCGGAGTTCCCCAAGGTTCAATACTAGCCCCTCTACTTTACGTTATATACACTTACGATATACCTATTGACGATGAGATCTTGACAGCTACATATGCAGACGATACAACAATCCTCACAAAACATCAAGACCCTACACAGGCCTCACTAACTCTACATCATTTGCTTAAACTACAAGATTGGTTCACACTATGGAAAATTCGACTTAATCATGACAAATCCAAACATATAACATTTACTCTTCGAAAAAACACCTGTCCTCCAGTTTATATTGACAACAATCAAATTCCTCAAACGGACACGGTACTTTACCTTGGACTCACCTTCGACAGAAGGATGACATGGGGCCCACATGTTAAAATGAAACGTATGACACTTAACAAACGACTCAAACTACTTTACTCTCTTTTTGCCAAATCTTCAAAACTAAAACTAAAACAGAAACTGAATACATATACATACTTACTTAAGCCCATATGGACATACTCATCACAAATATACGGCATCGCTAAAAAGACCCACCTACAAAAACTTCAAACGTTCCAATCAAAATTATTGCGACTCATAACAAAAGCACCTTGGTACGTGACTAACAAAACTCTACATACTGACCTCCACTTTCCAACAGTTGACCAACATATAACGACCCTATATTAACGATTTTACACAAATTTAAATGGACATAATAACAGACTTATAAGAGACATGGCCACAGCTGACATACCTCAGAACATGAGCAGGAGACTAAAAAGGCGTTGAATGAGGGTCTGCTTCCTTAGACAACCTAAGTAATTGATACAAGTTAGGGAAGAGGTACTGCTGAGTATTTTCCTTCCCCATGCCTGTCATGTCATTATATCATTATCGCCATCACATTTGCTGATTGTCAACTTATCGTTGACAGGCGCAAATACATATTTTATAGACAAAAAAATATATATATATATCTTCATATAAGGTAGTATTTTCAAAAATATGTTTGAAATTAATATATTTTCTTTTATTTTATACATGAATGAGTGTGCCTTTTGTTTGAATGTTTACTATTCGATTCAGATCTCAAAATATTGTATGAAATAGCAAACACGGGGTTGATACAGAGTCGTGTATTTTTCTCATTTCTGGAAATAGAGTTTTTTTATGAACGTAGACTCCCGTAATTTTTGAGTGATTTAATTGAATAACATTATCCTAAACCAATGATGATAACCAAACTATGAGGTATACCAGATACTATGGGACTAAGAGGTATTTAACTGTCTTTTTAGTTACACGGCGCTGAATACAGTTTTGCAACACACTTCTGTCATGTTGGCTTTTATACCTTAAAGGCGTTGGTGAATTCAGTTAAATTTTGTTTACAATATGGCGGAAATGTATAAATCAATATTTGTAATATAAAGCTTTTTAATTAATTCCATGCTTATTTCTTTTATTCTTTCTGCCTGTTTTTATTCTTGATATTTTTTTCTTCAAATTTTCATTACATATTTTTTTTTTATGAAAAATGTATTTGCGGCTGTCAATTTATTGTTGACAATCAGCAAATGATAGATAGTTTATTTTATTTGTCTAAGGAAATTCCTGTACAAATAAATATAATAGTATAATTAACAATGTTAGATCTTGAGTCTAGTACTGCATTCAAACATAACATTAACAATGTCCACAGCATTAAATATGACTAATATAATATAATAACAGATTAGTAAACGATATATATATATATATACATATATATATATATATATATATATATATATATATATATATATATATATATATATATATATACATAACAATTAGTAAAACATTTTTTATTTTTTTATTTTATTTTATTTTATTTATTTATTTATTTTTTTAAATGACAATATAAATAAGCATTAATATATGATTAACTTTACCACGTAACAGTTCAATGAACAGCCCTGTATGAAAAAATACAATTGGTTTATTTTTTTCGTAGTGTCTTTTTTCAGTATCTCCTCCACACTAGCATCTTCTCTGGATTCAGTGATAAATGCCTTCAAGTACTTATTTCTTGGCTCATTGAACTTGATACATTGGATCAGAAAATGAGTTACCGGGTCAGTTACTAGGCAGTTTCATGCACCACATACCTCACTGAATTTAATAGTCAAAGTAGCATCTTTTAAGTATATTTTCATAAAATCTTTACTTGCTACTCTGAGACGACTAACGGCTCTTAATTTGTTTAAATTCAGAGCCCTGAACTGAAGATAATCCTCTGGTCTGGTAACATTAAAGGAGCAGATTTTCCTATATCTTGGGTTTGATTTAGAGTTTAACACTCTGTCGATGTCCTTGGATGAGTGATGGTTTCTTATTTTTTCCATGATTTCATCTTTGAACCTCATCAGACCTTGAGAGAAAACACAAGAAAACATCCCCTGATATCCCAGTTCCGCCACAATCATCTTTACTTGGGTAACCGAGTTATAAGTTGGATCAGGTTTTCCAATGGATGAGTCTAGAGCTCTGAGCTTATTAAAGCATTGTCTAGGTAGTCTTTCGTCACTCACTAAGCTTAGCTTTGTCCAATAGTTGATCAGTTTTTTCAACACTTCAACACTTAATGGAGATCTCCCACTTTCAAGGCGAGCCACATAGTTCGGTGTATTTCTTGGCCAATGGAGCAATGATTTGATAAATCGAACTTGAGTCCTCTATAAAACCTCCAGGTATCTCGTCCCCCAGATCTCTGCAGCAGTGTTGACGAGACCATCGAGTCAAAGAGGCTGGTTTTTGTCTCCCAAGAGTCGCTTTTTCCATTTCTTAGGATTGCCATCACTTTGGTCGCTGCAACAGATGATCTATGTAAGAAATGCTCCGCGGCTCTCTCGAATTTTCCAGAAGAAGAAAAGGGTACACCCAGATATGTATAGTTTCTGGTATACTCCAAACTTGTGTCTCGCCAAGCCAAAGTCTTAAGTTTCTTCATCCTTGGAGATTTATGGAACACCAACACCTTAGATTTAGATGGATTTAGGGTCAAAGATTTGCTTTTACACTATTCGCTCAGTATATTGACGTTCCTTTGTGCACCATGCCACGAATTACTGAGGAGCACAATATCATCCGCTAACAGAAGCATAACTACTTCATGGTTGTGGTCTATACTAATACCAACAGCTCCTCGGTCACGGAAGTACTCAACTATATCCGACACAAACAGGATAAACAATGCAGGACTAAGGCTGTCCCCCTGAAGCAGGCCCAGACTGATACCAATCTCTTCTGACAGCTCGTGTTTCAACTTTATCAGCATCGATGAAGCATCATATAGTTTCTTTAGAAGCCTTTTCCCTTTTTAGTTTTAGTTCCCCCCCCCCATTCCAAGAGAAAGAAGCCTTTCCCACAACAAATTTTGGTTGATAGAGTCGAAGGCCTTCCTGAGGTCGACAAACACTGCGTAAACATAGCTGCCCTTTGACCTCAAATTAATGTTGACAACTGACATCAATGTAAATATGTGATCAATGCATCCCCTGCCCGTTCTAAAATCAGCCTGTTCCTCCGGTATCAATTTTTCTAATTCAGCCCATTTCATGATTCTGTTCCTTAGAATGCTGGTGAATAACTTTGCTAGTGTATTAAGTAAGGATATGCCTCTGTAGTTGTTCGGATCCTTTTTATCACCTTTATTATACAGAAGATGCAAGTTAGATTCTGCCCACATTCCTGGAATTTGTTCAGAATTCAACATATTAATACATTTAATATGTAGTGCTCCCAAGAGGGGTTGAGACATTTACAACTTCATAAGTTATATTATCAGGTCCTGGAGATTTATATTTTTTACAGGTACCTATGCTTTGTTGCAGTTCTTCCAATGATATATTGATATCCAGGAGTGGATGAGTTACAGAGAAAAAGTATGTTTCATGTATCGTTTTTTGGCCGTATAGATTCGTGTAATATTGAAACCAATCGTTCAGACTTATTTCGTTATTTTGATTGTGAAATGGTCTCAACATATTCACCGTCTTCCAAAACTCTCCACTGTTTTTTACAGTTCTCAAATTTGTAATTACTGATGCTCTAAACTCCATTTTTTTCCTTTTTATTAGTTTTCTATATTCATCTCGGGTTTGAAGGTAGTCTCTGATATATCCTGTCAATAAACTGTTCTTTTGCATTATTCTTTGCAACTTCTTGAGATTTCGTTTACCTCTCCTGCATTCTTGATCAAAACAGTTGTGCTTAGGTTGCGAAGTGGTATTCGCGGTCATCTTCCTCGTAAATATCAAAGCTGACTCCAACAAGTTCTCCTACATTGCCTGTTTAAAGTTATCATACAGCTGGTTCACATCTTCAAAATAGAAATACATTTTTTCAGAGTTGGAAATATTTTCACAAAATAAATTAATTTTGTCTTCATCCCACGGTGAATAGTTGGTAACTAAGTATTCTATTGGCGAAGCTATTCTGTTCATAGGAGAATCGCAATTAGCAAATGTGATGGCAATATATGAAATAATGACATGGCAGGCACGGGGAAGAAAAGTACTCAGCAGTACCTCTTACTTAGGTTGTTTAAGGAAGGAGATCACTCATCCAAGGCCTTTTTAGTCTCCTCCTCATGTTCTGAGGTATGTCAGCTGTGGCTGTGTCTCTTATTAGTCTGTTATTATGTCCATTTAAATTTGTGTAAAATCATTGATAAACTGTCGTTATATGTTGGTCAACTGTACCTACCTGATGGAAGCGATATTGAAGAAGGTATATCCGCCATGGAGACGATCTCAGCTTGCACAAGAAACGTCATTATATGCTCAGATACAAATTCTTGGAACACGGTCTGGGGATCTAATCGAACGAATAGAAGAGGCGCTAAACTGGATGATTTTATCGCGAGATGCCAGCTTGTAGTACTAAACGATCCTTCTGCCACACCTACCTTCTCAGGAGGAAGAGGGCAAAGTTGGATAGATGTCACGATGGCTTCGCCTGCGCTGTCAAATCGCCTTATCGATTGGACCCTCAGATCTGAGACGAGTTCCGACCACCATGCTATAGTATTTTCAATGGTACAAAACATGGTAAGTTCCCACGGTATAAATAAGGGTTACAGAACTCGGAAAGGAGATTGGAATGCCTTCCGGTCAACGCTGGAAGAAAAACTAGTCGACGATGACTGGGATGTGGCGGAAACGGATTACACTGATGACCTGGATTACAGGGTTTCGAGAATCACTGACATCATCCGTGATGCCGCTGAGGACTCTCTCCAGCACCGGAAGGCGAGAGCTAAACCTGTCCCATGGTGGACGCCGGCTTTAACCACCATGAAGAGAGAGCTCTACAAGGCCCGGCGTTCGTACCAGCGGTGTAGTTGCGATGAGTGGCGCACTACTCTTCGTGACGAGTACAGGTCTAAAGCCAGGGTATACCGAAACAAGGTGCGTCTACATAAACGTAGGTCTTGGGATGAATTCATCGTTGAGGAATCATCTAAAAACCCCTGGGGTATCCCGTACAAAGTAGCCTTGGGTAAATTGACTCCAATGCAAGTAATCGCAGCGATAAAGTATGACGGTACTCAGGCAAAAACTCCAGAAGAATCGGCGAAGATGTTTATTACAGAGACTTACCCCAGGGATGATCCATCTCAAGATAATGAAGAGGAGGAGTTCGTAAGACGCACTACGGTATACCCTCCCGGCACGGATCTGTGCCCACCATGGGACATATGGGATCTTCGCACTGCCGTGGACAAGCAAAAGATTGGTCGTGCCCCCGGTTTAGACACCATTGACGCGTCAATTTTCAAGAACAGTATTCCCTATATAGAGGAAAGATTGCTGGCTATTTATAATGATTGCCTAGACAGGGAATACTTCCCAAGAATCTGGAAAATCGCTAACGTCAAGCTCATTTACAAAGGAGGAGACAAAGATAAGCAATTAGCCAAATCTTATAGACCTATATGTCTCCTCCCAGTCATGAGCAAGGTGTTAGAAAACCTGATGCTCACCAGCCTACGGCCAGTCTTCTCGAGAGCGAGCCATCCACGGCAGTACGGATCCTCTAAAGGCAGGGGAACCGCAGATGCCCTGCTGAGAGTGCGCTGTGATGTTGAAGAGAAGGCGGAGAAGTATGTTATGCTCCTCCTGTTTGACATATCATCCGCCTTCGATAGCGTCTGGTGGCCGAGCGTACTCCAGCAGTTGCAAAGGCATGAAGCCCCCAGCAACTTGTATGGCTTGATCAGAAGCTATCTCCACGATAGGACATTGAAGATTAAAGGTAGCTTCTATGAAGTAGAAGATACAGTGGAAAGGGGCTGTCCACAGGGCTCTGTCCTTGGCCCTGCCCTATGGAAACTGGTCTTTGACGAGTTGCTGGGAGTGCTAGAACAGGAGCGGTTCCCCGCCACTGCATATGTAGATGACCTGGCTGTTGTAGTGGCCTCGAATAGCAGGGCCAGATTAAAATATGAAGCTGAACGTTGTGCCAACCTTGTAGAAGAATGGTGCGAGAAAAAGAAGTTAAGGATGGCGGGTTCCAAGACTCAGGCCATCCTCTTGAGAGGTTCGACCGATAGGGCACACCCCATAACCTTGGTGATACAAGGTTCCAGAATATGTCCAAGTGAGGTAGTCACCTATCTTGGAATTAGGATTGGGAAAAAATTCAACGTGACGCCTCACTTGGATTACTTAAGGAATAGGATAACCTTAGCCCTTAATGGTCTCAGTCGCATAGGGGGGGCCTTTTGGGGCCTTAGATATCCAGCAACTATGTCCATTTATAAAGGAGTAGTTATTGGTATCCTGAGATACGCGTCCCCCGCATGGAACCGGAATCTCTCGTACCGTCAGAAGCGCAAGTTGGCAACAATCCAGCGGATGGCCCTGCTTAGAGTAACCAGGTCATACAGAACTGTGTCCCATGAGGCGGTGCAGGTCTTAGGAGGAGGTATTCCTCTCGACCTCCTCCTGCGGGAAGACCTTTATCGGTACAACATTAAGAGGGATGACTTGGCGGATTTACCAGCAAACATTCGGGAGAGGATTTGTGATGACCCCAGAAGATGGAAGATGATCCTCCGGGAGGATACATTGGAACAATGGAATCGGCGATGGGTGACAACCCCAAACGGGTCCACACTAAGAAAATTCTTTCCCACCATTAAATCGCGCTTAGAAAAGAAATGGGTCCTCCCGGACTACTGGGTCTCACAGATCCTCACGGGGCATGGGGGTTTCAGAGCAAAACTTTTTAAACACGGTAAAAATATCGACCCCTTATGCCCCACTTGTGGAGTACCTGAAACCGCTGAGCACATCCTTGTAGCCTGCACCAGCTATGAGGCACTGAGGGCCAAATTAATGAGGGATACAGGGCTTTTCGTTCTTACAGAATTACAATTACCCCAACTAAT